GGTGGATTCAGGACAGTCCTGCTTTCCTGAACTTGGCCTCAGTGGACGTCCACGTGGCCGCTTCCACGGTGGCCTGGGGGATCTAGAGCAAAACCCAAAAGCTGAAGTTGGCTGCAGGCCGAGAGGGGGAGGGCCCCTGGCACTGAGCATTGGGCACCTCTGGCCTCAGGCGTCTTCCCCAGGCAAGGGGGGTGTCCTAGAGACTGGCTGTCCTCAGGGCTCTCGCCTTGGGGGCTCTGCCCCACTCCAGCCAGAGAAACAACAGAAACTCCTCACCAGGAGTGTCCCCAGGGGTGTCCTGTCCACGCGGCTCGGCATCTTAGTGGGCCCGCCCGGGACAGTGGTCTGAGCAGGTGCTGGATCCGCTGAGGGACCTTCCGTGGCCATCTCTGGAATGGCTCTGCATGGCAGGGACCCCCACCCGCGACAGATCGCGAAACTGAGGCGCAGTGGGGAGGCCCATCCCTGCCTGCAGGGTTCCCCATCACCAGCCTCTGCTGAGTGAGTGGAGGCCCTTAGTGGGCGTTCCAGTGGGGAGGGAGTGGTCCAGCGGGGGGGGGGGGTGGCAGCTGGGGGTCACACAGAAACCCCTCAGACTGGGGGGACAGCCTGCAAAGGCCCTTTCAGAGCAGGAAGGTGAACGGCAGAACTGGGGGCGGGCGGGGGGCATGAGAGAGGTAGATGAACAGGGGGGGAAAGGCTGCAGAGCCTTGGGGGTCTTAGAGAAGATGAGACCGTCACCCCCGGCCTGCCCTCTCCCGCCTCCCATTATTCTTGGAGAGCTGGCAAGTGGGAAGGGGCATTCCCAGAGCACCCTGAGAAGGAGTAAGAGTAAGATCTTACTTCCACCGAGCGCCATCTGACAGTCGAGGCACAGAGAGGTCAGGGACCTGGCGCGAGGTCACAGAGGGAGCCCCGCAGGAGTCAGACGCCGGCCCCGATGCCTCCACCCTCACCCTGTGCCACCCACCAGCGGGGCTTCAGCGGAGAAAATGTAGCTGGCAGGTAGCAGCTGAGATGGGGCTTCTCCCAGGACGGGTCCCGCTCCTGCCTGTCATCCAGGGCCCGGGAGAGGCAGAGCCAAACAGGAAACAGGATTCCTGAGGCGCGGGAGAGACGGGCAGGAATTAGTGAAGAGCCTCCGCCCGCTACTTCTCCCCTCAGACACAGACCATGGTACACGCTACGGCAGGGGCCCGGGCAGGCCCCGAGGACGGCTCCCCTGTGAATCCCACCAGGGACTGTGGCTCAATGTTGATCACGTCCCAGTGGATTTGCCGGACTCGGGATGAAAGGTCTTGCGATTCCTCCAACCAGCACCGCCTACAAATATTTGCTGAGCGGCTACTGAGCAAAGCCGGTGCGCTCCTGTGTTGGGGGCTGGCGAGGGATGCAGGGAGCTGGGCTTCTTCGTGAGAACTCAGCCCTTCCGCCTGCCAGACCCAGGTCCGTTTCCCAGGAGGTGGGCAGACGAGTGGTCCCAACTGGCTCAAAGGAATCTCCGCCTGGCACGGGACAATGGCTTCCAGAAGGAGAATCGCCCCACACAGATGACATGGGGAGGGGTGTAAGGTGCCTCACATGCAGCTCACCCCGCTTTGCTCCCTGGCACCACATGGGCCCCCGAGCACTGCCAGGAGTGACCCGAGGGCACAGCTGGGAATAGCCCCTGAGAACCACTGAGTGTGATCCAAAAACAACGTTTGGGAGTTGGCTGGCCCGTTTTTCTGGAACACCTATAAGAAGAGTTTAAATCCAGTCCTGCCCCGGAACATGGGTGTTTCTCATCCTGGGCTCTGAGGTGGCACGTGCCCTTGAGCTCACCCACGCCCCATCTTCTCCTGTCCCAACACAGCCCAAAGGGCAGGGGAGAGGCAGAGGCCAGGCAGGCGCTCTCTCCTCGCCGCCACTCCTAGGTCAGCACGGCCACGCCTGCTGCCGAGAGGAAAGTAACGGAGCTGAGGGGGTCCCCGCCCCACATCTGCCTCCCCAGCCCGCAGGGGCAGCCACCCTGGGCTCCCACTTCCCTCGAGGACCCGCTGCTCTAACACCTATTACTAGGCAACACGGGGCCCCATTTCCTACCCTGAGGACTTAACCACGGAACACTGAGATCTGGGGTTCAGTTTTTCGTGGGGCTCAGACGCGATGGACACCAGCTCACTCGAAGGGGCCATGCCTCCCTTCCTAAGGGAACAGGGAAGGACGTGCAGGGGTCTCTGCAGAGAGGCAGGGGGGCAGTGGGATGGGTGCCGTGGCGCCGGTGGGCAGCGGGGGCATGAAGACAGCACTTTCTGCCCCTGCCCTGCGTTGGTGCTGCAGGAAGCCACACCAGCCACAGCGCGAACCTCCCAGCTCCAAGTGGGCACGAGAAGAGAACACGTTCGTGACATCCCTTACCCTGGAGCCCACCCGGCATGCGCCCATTGCTGTCGCCTGCCAGTAGCTGCTCCAGGCAGCGTGATGAATGCAAGTGGCATTATCCCTTATGGATTGCTGTAGCTTAAACATCTAAAAAGAAAATCTTTATTCTTTCTTACTCTAGTTCTTCGGGGTGGGGGTGGGGGGGCGCAGGTGACCTCCCAAGCAGTGCTCAGAGCCAGGGCCACTCCTAGCAATACTCAGCCAACCTGACCGGGTGGTTCAATGTTCGAGCTCGGTGGTGCTGAGGGACACCAGAGTCACACCTGGCAGTGATGCGGGGGCTGGGGGGACAGAAATGGGATGCCAGCCATGGTACTCAGGTATTTGCATATGCAGAGAAGGTGCCCCCCCATCCCTGAGTCATCTCCCCAACCTCTCTCTTACTACACTTCAACTTTTGTCACCAAAACAAATGATAAAATTTCCAGTTATGCTCTTACCAAGCCTCTCCTGCCTTGAGAATTCTTTTCCTCCCCACAATGTCACATTGGCTGTGTATCCACTGACTGTGACCTGGCCCGTCACTCTGCTCCCGACAGCCCCTTCTGAAAGGCTTCATTCATGTCCATGTCCCCGGCCTGCCCTTCGGAACGTTTCTAAACACCTCGTCACCTCTAAGGACATCTTGGTTCCAGCCACACACTGAATTGCTGCTGACAACAGCTGGGTGGGCCTGCGGCCAACGGGCCACCAAACAGGGCCCTGGGCACGGGACTCGCCTGGGGTTGCTGGAGCCGCCTAGCAGTGCATGTGTGTCTGGCAGTGACCGGGAGCAGGAAAGCTGCCACTTGTCTTGTTCCTGGCCTAGGGACCCCCCCCCCCCCAGCAGCTCGATGCTGCCTTTCCCGACAAGGAGGCCTGCGGATAAGGGGCTGGCGGCTGCAGAAGTCTGAGGGGCACTTCGCCAGCAGGTGCTCGGCGAGGCCAGAGTGGGAGGCCGGTCAAGGGCTCCCCTGCTCAAGTGTCATTTCTCTGGGCTTTGGTCCCCATCATCATCCCAACGGGTACGGGTACGCAACCCTGCAAAGAGGGGCTCTGATTCAGGCTCCGCGAGGCTCCCCACCGCCTCCGCGCGAGCCCCTGGCAGCCTGCTGGGGCTGTGCCGAGGGCCCCCGGGTCTCCCTGCTGAGACTTCGCTGGGCAACTTGAGCTGCCAGCCCGCACCTTCCATCCCCCAGGGGACGCAGCCAGCTACCGCAGGGACAGGGATCAGCCAGGCAAAGTCCCTGCCTGCCCCCGGAGGAGCCTGGGGCCAGCTGGGGTGCAAAGTTCTGGGGCACCGCTTAGCAGCCTCCCCACGATTCCACACCGGTTGGTGCACGCCCTGCGCTTCCGCGTTTCCCCGGGGGACCTCCCCGAGCCGTTCGATCTTCTTCGCTGTGGCCCGGGGTGGTGCGGGGGGTGGGGTGCGGGTGGGGGTGGGGGTGGAGGGTTGCAAACCCGGGGCTCGCGGCACAGGCGCCGCGTGTGCGCCGCCTCTGCTGCCGAGCGGCCCCAGCCCCCAGAGCGGGTATATTTTAAGAAAGGGGGTGGTGCTCCTCCAGAATGTTCCCTGGGTAGCCCGCGTGAAGGAGTTGGTGGTTGTTTTTCTAGGAAAAGGAAGGGAGGGTCCTCGGAAAGGAATCTCTCCGGGAGCCGCTCGGGCGCGGGGGCCCCAGTCCGGCGCAGCCCGCTCCTCTCGAGGTCGCGAAAACAGGCTCCTGCGCACGCCCTGGACTTGCCCAAGGTCACGGGCCGGCGGCGGGGAGGACGGAAGCGCGTCCCCCGGCCCGGCCGGCCCCGAGCCCCGGAACCCGACACCCGCTTCAGCGCGGCCCGGTCCCGCAGGGCCGGGCGGGCAGGTCGCCGTCCCCGCGCCTGCCCTCAGCCAACCCCCGGGTCCCCGGGGAGGCGGGCGCGGGCGGGGCCCGGCGACGCGCGTCCCGGTCCCACGACCCGGGGCCCGGCCCGCCCCGCCGCTCCCCGCACGTGCTGCGCCTCGTGCCGCCGCCCGGGCCCCGCCCCCGCCCGCCATTGGCCGCCCCGCGCCTCCTCCGCGGCCCCCGCCCCGCGCGACTGGCCGGGGCTGCGGCTCCACGTGACCCGCGGGGGGGCGGCGGAGCGGGCGCCCTGATAGGCTGCCGCGGCCGGCCTGGCCGCTCCCCGCCCCGCCTCCCCGGACTGGCGCGTCGGGAAGGTGGCGAGGTTGGGATGAGAAGGAAGGGCGAGCGCTCGTCCCGGTGGTCTGGCAGGAGGGCGGGGGTCATGAAGCGGGAGGCGAAGGCGAAGCCGCTGGCCGAGGGCAAAGGGCTGCCGCCGAAGAGGGCCGGCGACGCGGAGTCCTGCAGGCGCCAATCAGGTGACTCTGGGGCGGACGGGGCGGGGCCTGCGGCGCGGCTCCTCACCTGGCCCCGCACGTGTCGCGCTCACCCCTCCCGGGCCGCCGAGCCAATCCCGGCCGCCTCGGCGGGCGCGGCCAATCCGGAGCCGCGGTCCGGGGACGCCGGCCGGGCCTCATGAATAATTAATGCGCCCGCGCCCGTCGGCGGGCGGGGTGGGGATGGAGGGAGGCGGGGGCGCCGCGGGGCGCCTGCGCAGTGGCGGCCCGTGTCGGCGGCTGCGGCGGGTCGCGCGGCTCCGGCCCGTCTCGGGGGGCGGGCGTGGGGAGGCGAGGCCGCGCGCGAGCGAGCGAGCGCAGCGCGGGGCACGATGTCCGACGCGGGCGGCGGGAAGAAGCCGCCTGTGGAGCCGCCGGCGGGGCCGGGCCCGGGCCCGGGGCGCGCGGCCGGGGAGCGGGGCCTGCCGGGCTCCTTCCCGCTGGTGCTGAAGAAGCTGATGGAGAACCCCCCGCGGGAGGCGCGCCTCGGTGAGGGGGGAGGGGTCAGCGCGCCGGGGGCGGGGCCGGGGCGGGGCCGGGGGCGGGGCCTGGGCGGAGGTCAGGGCGGCGGGGCCGGGCGCGTGGGGGTGGGCCGGGCCGGGCGCGCGGGGCGGCGGCGGCGGCGGGCAGGGGTGCGGGTGCGGGTGCGGAGGGTCGCCCCCGCGGCGTGTTGGGGGCTGCCGGGGAGGCCGGCGGGGGGGGTGGGCGCCCTCCGGTGGGGACGGCGGCGCCTGGGGCGGCCGTGTCAAAGCCCGGTCCGTGAGCCCCGCCCTGGGCCCACCCACCGCCTCTGCGGCTCCGGGAACGGGAATCTGCGTATTTTTTGGGGGGGGGGGGAGCGCCCCATCCCCGCGATTCCAGGGCCCCGCGAAGTTCGGGGGGCGCCGATTGCACGGTAGCAGTTTTTGCTGGTGGTCTTTGCGGGTGGCCTTTCTCCATGCTGCGGGGGGGGGGGACCTGGCAGGGGGCTGGGGGCGGGGCCCGAGCAGAAACGCCAGGACCCGCCGCACCCCCCCCCCAGCATCCCTGAGCATCCCCGGAGCGGCCTGGGGTGAGGCGGGAGGCCCGCTGAGGGCTCTGAGCCTGGCTGTTGGGGGCCCACCCTAAACTTGGGGCCCAGTGGCGGTGTCAACCCTCCCCCACCCCCGCGTCCGGGCAGGGGGGCGGCCCACGGCGGGGACGTCGGTGCGCGGGGAATGTGTTTCCTCTGGATCTTTGCATTTCCCGAACCATCCGTGCTCTTGAGGAAGAGCCAGGCCCTCTGTGGTTCGCGGGACTCGGGGCATTCGTTTCCTTCCTGAAAAATGCCATTTCTCTTCCTTTTTTCGCGTGTGTTCGTTCTGAGGCTCCCATCCCCGTGGCTGTCAGTGTTTGGTTTATTAATAGCTCCCGCACGTCAGGTGAGGCCAGGCTCTCCAAGCTTGTTTTGTTCCGAAGGTAATGCTTCCTCGCCCAGTCTGCGCCGAGATGCACCCGGGCAGCTGTGCACATCTGGCCAGCGCCTCAGTTGGGTCTTCCCAAACGGCAGCCGCCACCCTGCAGACTCTTCCCCTGGCCTTGCACAGAGCCCACAGCTCTTGGACATGGTCTCGTTGTGTTCAGTCCTTCTAGGAGACGCCTTCAGGGCCTTCTCCCCACTTCCCAGATGAGGAAAGCTGAGGTCTCCGTGAGGATGCACCGTCAAGGTCACCTAGTGAGTCTGACACCTCTGCCTGCTGCTCTTTGCTGTATCACTGGCCGCCCCTGCAGTCAGTTTCCGTGGCGACCTTGATGGGTGCTGGCCTCTGGGGTCTCTCCATTTTAAAAATTGTGATCAGGGGCCTAAGAGGTAGTGCAAGGAAAAGGCACTTACTCTGCATGTGCCTGCCCCCTGTTCAATCCCGGGCAACACGTAGGATTCCTAGAGCACTGCCAGGAGTAGACCCTGAGCACAGCCAACTGTGGCCCAAACTCCCCGCCCCCCTCCAAAAAAGGGGAAAAAAATCCCCAAAAGGAAGAAAAACAATTAGAAATATTTGATTGTTTATACCAGGCAAAATTTGGAACGTAGTGGTCGGGTTTTTTTGTTGTTGGTTCTTTGGATCACATCTGGAAGTCGTCAGGGCTCACCCCCGGTTCTGTGCTCAGGGACCACGTGATGCTGGGGATAGAAACCAGGTCAGCCATGTGCAAGTCAAGCGCCCTCCCACTGTCCTCTCTCTCCAGCCCCAGAACTTAGTTAGGGGCCCTTCCATACGGCTGTTTTTCTATCTCCGCTCTCCTGCCTTCTCTGGTCCCCAAGTGACTGAACCCAACACAGATTATTTCTTTTTGGTTTGGGGCCAAACCCAGCAGTGCTTAGGGCTTACTCCTGATTCCATGCTTAGGATCCCTCCTGGTCAGCTGTGGGGACCACAGGGGAGGCCAGGGATCAGACCCGGGTCAGCCAGGTGCAAGGCAAATGCCTTCCCCGCTGTACTATTGCTCGGACCCCATGGACCATTTCTGAGCAGAATGTGGAGGCAAGGGGCTGGAGGGATATAACAATAGGTAGGGCGCTTGCCTTGCACGTGGCGGACCCTGGTTCAGTCCCCAGCATCCCCTCTGGTCCCCCAAGCATCTCAAGATGTGGCCGAAACAACAACAACAAAAGACAAGGCAAGATTTGGGGGGAAGAGATCAGGGAGTTCATCTGGTCCGTGCACCCCATGAAACCTGGCTTTCTTGCATGCATTTCATTTGATTTTAAACCAATGCCTGGGACAGGAAGCAGTTGTCAGAATTTGAGTTGATTTTTAGTTGAAGCCAGGACCAAGTTCTGTGTGTCAGAATCTTTATAACTCACTGGGTGTGTCCTTTCATACGGCACTGATGGACTGCAGCGTGGCGGGCCGTGGTCTGGGAGTTCACGCGTGAATGGTTTAGTTCCAACATAATCACATTTGATTTTGCTTTTTCACTTTAAATTCCAGAGTTCAAAGTTGTCTCTCTCAATTTTGAAAAGCCATTATGAACTTGTCACGATTTTTTTTCCCCTGCTTCTCTGATTAGCCTCCCTGTCACTTTGATTTCCTTCCAACCTTGTCACATTTCTCTCTTGTCCCTTTTTTCTTAATTTTCCCTTTCTCGAGTAATCATGTGCCTTTTAATTTCGTTTTTGGACTGAAGCGGTTTGGTGGGATGTGGTCCCCCCTGATTGATTTAGTTTTGCTTTGGGTGGGGGGGGAGCAGGATCTTTCCTTCCCCTCCACCCTGTCCTTCCTGCCTGCTGTCGTCTGGGGTTGAGGGACCAGGAGGTCTTGAGCCGATTGTCTGCTGAGGGTCCTGGGGAGCCGGCTCCCGGCCCTTGCCCACCCATTTGCCACACGGAGTCCGCAGGCCCGGTGCTCTGGTCAGTGGGCACCTGCCTCCTGGGGACATGGGGACATCTGACAACACTGTGAGCTGTTGTCTCAGTGGGGGACATCGGGGCTCCATGGGGTTCAGCCACATGACTGAATCCACCGTCCCCGCCGGTGGGAGACGGACTGGGAGTCAGACCCCAGGCTGGGGCACACGGGGTTGGGGTCCAGGTCCAAGCCCTCCCCCAGGTTGCCTTGCTGCCCGTGCTGGGCTGGCCAGCCTGCGGGACACAGCGGGACTGGATGGTGTGGGGACCCTGTGTGCCGCAAACGTGGGGCTCGCGGCCAAGGCCAGCTTGTCACCAGGAGGGTAGCGGCTCATCTCGGATTCTGTATCTGCAGATAAAGAGAAGGGGAAAGAGAAGCTGGAGGAAGACGAGGCGGCGGCGGCCAGCACCATGGCCGTGTCAGCGTCTCTCATGCCGCCCATTTGGGACAAGACCATCCCGTACGACGGCGAGTCCTTCCACCTGGAGTACATGGACCTGGACGAGTTCCTGCTGGAGAACGGCATCCCCGCCAGCCCCACGCACCTGGCCCAGAACCTGCTGCTGCCCGTGGCCGAGCTGGAGGGGAAGGAGTCGGCCAGCTCCTCCACCGCGTCCCCGCCCTCCTCCTCCACCGCCGTCTTTCAGCCCTCGGAAACCGTGTCCAGCACAGGTTGGTGCCACTGGGCAGGACCAGAGAAGTCCACTCCCACTGGGGGGCAGCTCTGTGGGCCCCCCGGAGTCCCCTGTTGGGGGACTTCCTGCAGGAAGCCTCAGTCTCTGTGGGCCCCCCTCTTTGACGTAGTTCTCTGAGGCAGGAGTTAAAAGAGACGTCACGGCCTGTGGTGAGGGTGGGCTGCGGAGTGGGAGGGCCCCCTGCAGCTCCACTCAGGGCAAGCCCACTGCCTTCCTCCCCTGGCTTGGTCATGGCTTATTGGGAAGCGTGGAGTGATGCAGCTTATGGGGGTGTCACTGGCCACTCTGTCGAGGTGTCAGCATGTCATCCTCAAGGCAGGTAGAGATGAGGCACGGAGACGTTAGGACTCAGCTGGGTCACTTGGTGGACAGAGGCGCACCACCCGGCAGGGTTGACATCTGGGGGCTTCCTTGCTTCCCTCTGGGTGTTAGTGGTTTTCATTCCCCTTGGATGTGAGCTCCCAGAGGCAGCGTGACTCCTGTTTTGGGGGTTCTGCAAATCGTTCTGCAGGCTCAGAGCTTAGAGGTCTGTGGCCGGGAGCCCCTTGAGCTTCTGTGGAACCCAGGAACCAGAGTAGAAGTACGGAACGCCGATGCCCAAGGAATTCTCTCATGCTCTATTTTTACTATTTTAGACAATATCCAAATACAAAAGAGACAATAAATGAATATTTGTTAAAAAAAAAATTGTTTGTGTCGGAGTAGTAGTACAGTAGGTAGGGTGTTTGCCTTTCATATGACAGACTTGGGTTCGATACCCGCCATCTCATAGGGTCCTCCACACACCACCAGGAGTGATTCCTGAGTGTAGAGCCAGGATTAACCCCTGAGCATCACTGGGTATGGCCCCAAAACCAAAAATGAATAAAATGAACATTTGTGTAACCGGTCCTTAGTGTTCATAATTTTGTGTGGTGATGGGACCTGGCGCCTCACACATGCAGATGGTGCATGGGACGGCCAGGTTACCTCTGATTTCTCTAGTTCATGTGGCACTACTCAGGCTGCTGCTGGCTTTGTGATGTGGAGAGTCGCTTCCAGCTGTGCCGGTGAGACCCCGTAGTCCCAGGGATCAGACTCGGGTGAGCCACATGCAAGGCAAACCCTTCCACCCCTGCATTACCTCCCCAGTCCCAGTTTCTGTCTTCAAGCGGATCCTCATGAAGGGTGGCGTTCAGAAGCATTTGTGTCACAAGCGTAAAGCTCCGTGACTACGGGGCCAGCCAGAGTCCAGGGCTTCAGGCACAGGGCCTTGGATGCCACTGTCTCCCCTTCCCAGCACCACATATGCTCCCCATCATGCCATCAGCAGTGATCCCTGAGAATAGAGCTAGGACGGAGGACACCCTGAGCACAGCCAGGTGTGACCCCAAAATCAAACAAACTAACCACAAAACTCTGTGACTTCAGGGCACTCACCCATGAAACTGCCACCTGGCAGGATCTGGAACAGTCTTGGTGCCCACTGGGACGCTCTCAGAGTAGTCTCAGGGGTAGTCACTATTCTTACTTGCATCACCAAGGATTGGTTGGCAATTGAAAACTCTTAAAGTGGGGTTATACATACGCCCTTTTTGTTTCTATCGTACGTTACTATTTTTGGTTTCATAGTTGTTCTGTTCTTTTTTTGCTTTTGAGATCACACCAGCAATGCTCAGGGGTTACTCCGGCACTGCACTCAGGAAGCACTCAGGAATTACGCGTGGCATTGATTGGGGGACAATATGGGATGCTGGGGATCAAACCCAGGTCGGCTGCATGCAAAGCAAAAGCCCTCCCTGCTGTACTATGACTCCAGCCTGTCTTTACATAGTTTTCTGACTTTCATACTACACATTGAAATTCTGGGTATCAGAATCCTGTATTTCTGAAACATGCCTATGAGCACTCCTGTGCCTGAAAAGAAAAACAGCCCAGGTGAATTAAGGTTTATACAGAAAAACTTTGGATTGATGAGAATTGGGGTGCGGTGGGGCCACACCCAGCAGGGCTCAGGGCTTACTCTTGGCTTAAGGGGCCATTCCTGGCCGGGCTCAGGGGACTGTACGTGGTGCCAGGGTTAGACCCTGAATCAGATGTGTGCTGGCAAGCACCTTACCCAAGGTACTATCGCTCTGGTTCCTGATGATAATTTTTTTTTGCTTTTTGGGTCACACCTGGCGATGCACGGGGGCCACTCCTGGCTCTGCACTCAGGAGTCACTCCTGGCAGTGCTCAGGGAACCCTATGGGATGCTGGGAATCGAACCCGGGTCAGCCGCGTGCAAGGCAAACGCCCTACCCGCTGTGCTATCGCTCCAGCCCCTCCTGATAATTTTTATGTGACTAGAATAGTACTTTTTCTGACAGGTCATCAATTAATACTTGTAAGTACTAAAATGAATATGTTTTATTGAAGACCTGGGTGGGGGGAAGAGGGCTTGAGAAGACACCTGGCCAGAGGCGTCTGTCAGTGGTAGACACGTGCTTTGTGTGTATGAGACCTGGGGTTTGAGTCCCAGTACCGCGCACTAAAGTGATGTTTTTGTTTGTTTGGGGCCACCCTCAGCATTTTTCATGGGTGGCTCGTGGCTCAGTGCTCAAGGTGCCTCCTAGTGTGTTGCTCAGGGGACCATGCGGTGCCGGGGATAACACCGGTGCCTCGGGGCTGGAGAGACAGCAAAGCGGGTAGGGCGTTTGCCTTGCCCGCGGCTGACCCGGGTTCAATATGGTCCCCTGAACTCCGCCAGGAGTAATTCCTGAGTGCAGAGCCAGGAGGCCAGGAGGAACCCCTGAGCATCGTCGGGTATGACCCAAAAAAGCAAAAAAAAAACCCTGTGCCTCCCGCGCGCAGCACATGTGCTCAGCCCCGAAAAGGATTTTAGTAACTAATTGTAGGAAGGAAAGTAGAATTCTTTTTCTGGTGTTTCAAGACAGATGGTGCCCTAGTGCCAAGCCCCAGTGAGACAGACTGACAGTGCCCTAGTGCCGCGCCCAGCCCGGCCCAGTATTCTTGTTTCAGTTAGTTTTGGTCCTTTTGGTTTGGGGCCTCATTCAGTGGTACTCAGGACTGCTCCAGCTCGATTCTCTGGGGACAGTGATGCTGCGGGAAGAACCTAGGCCTCCCACATGCAGAGTTCCAACCCGTTAAACTGTATCTCCATCCCTTTATTCCTGTAGTGGAAAAGACGTAAATGGGGCACGTGATAGTACAGCAGGGAGGGTGCTTGCCTTGCACAGAGGTCCGGGGTTTGATCCCTGGTGCCCATATGGCCCCCTGAGCATGCTAGGAGTGATGCCCTGAACTCTGCTGGATGATACAGATTTTTTTTTTCTTTTGGAATCCCACCCGGCGGTGCACAGGGGTTACTCCTGGCGGTGCTCAGGGGACCCTATGGGATGCTGGGAATCGAACCCCGGTTGGCCGCGTGCAAGGCAAATGCCCTACCCGCTGTGCTGTTGCTCCAGCCCCAGAAAAAAAATTGTTTAATTAAAAACGACAAATATAGGGGCTAGAGAGATAGCACAGCGGGTAGGGCGTTTGCCTTGCACGCGGCCAACCCGGGTTCGATTCCCAGCATCCCATATAGCCCCCTGAGCACCGCCGGGGTGATTCCTGAGTGCAGAACCAGGAGTAACCCCTGTACATCGCCAGGTGTGACCCAAAAAGCAAAAAGCAAAAAAAAAATCGAGAGCTTGTATTTTTTTTTAATGTCTGTAATCTCTCCTCTAAATTTGTTGAATCATCCATGATTTTTTTTTTTGTTGTTGTTGTTGTTTTGGTTTTGATTTTGGGCCACACCTGCTCTGCTTAGGGCTTACTCCTGGTTCTGCCCTCAGGAATCACTCCTGGTGGTGCTCAGGGAACCATATGGGATGCCGGGTTTTGAATGCAGGTCAGCTGCATTCCAGGCCCTGTACTATGGCTCTGCCCTCATCCCTGGTGTTGTCTTTGGCAGTAGTTTGTCATTTCATTGAGAAGTCGTGTTCTGTGATGCAGGCATATCCCGATTACCTGTTCGACAGTTGGTGGACGTTTGAAGGGTTTCTAGTTTGGGATTAGCCCAGCACTGCCATGAGCATTTGTGTGTCTGCCTTTGAATCAGTACATGGCTGCATATTTTGTTTTGGGGTCACACTAGTGGTGCTCAGGGCTCACTCGTGGCTCTGTGCTCAGGATTACTGGGTGCTCGGGGAACATGTGGGGTGCTGGGAATTAAATCTGCATCAGCCACGGGCAAGGCAAGTCCCTTCCCTGCCGCAATGTCCCTCTGACCCCCGTGACTGCTGTCTGTGGGCATTTGGGGGTTCGCGCACTGTCGAGGTGGGTTCCCAGACAGGCGTCCGCTCAGCTGTTGCACAGACAGTGGGTGGCCTGGTCACGGCCAGGCCAGGGAGAGGCCTCGAAAGACGAGGTGCGTGCTTTGCAGTCGGAAGCGCCACATTTAATCCCCAGCACCACGTGGTCCCCGAGAACTGCCAGGCCTGATCCCTGAGCGCCACCAGGCGTGACCCCAAAGTGAAAAAACAGCACGGAATGAAGTAGTTGTCCTCCCTAGTCCCCGCGTCAGCCTTCGTGTTTCAGTCGGGTTTCCGTGGTGAGGAGTCTGACGGTCGCAGGTGATTTCCTGGCTTTTCCTTCTCCCCAGAGCCACACCCAGGTCTTAGGGTCAGCTGCTGGACTTGCTCACGGGGCTCTATGCACTGGGAAGGGGGAGCCCCCAGAATCCCTCCCTCGGACTTCCCCTTCGGGTGCTCTTTGGAAACCCCCCCCTTTATTCCCTGGCTTTCCCTTGGCGTTTGGCTGTCCGAGGCAGCCGTCTCCCCGGAGCGGCGTTTCCCGTGGTGGGGTCTCTCGTCTGTCTTGGGATGTAGCGTGTGGCGGTTCCGGCGTCCATTAGGCACCGCGCTGGTCCCTAGTTGGCTGCCCCGTCTCCAGCGCCCTGGTAGCTAACCCTGAGGAGGACCCGGTTTTGTGCGCGATTCAGTTCAACCCAGATTGGACCATGCCACACCCCTAAGTCAGTGTCCGTCTCGTTCTTTGTTGGTCTTTGGTTTGGGGCCCCATACTGTGGTTCTCGGGGGGCTGTTCCCAGCTGTGTGTCAGGGCTTACTCCTGGTCACGCTCGGGGCGCCATGCCATGCGGAGGGCAAACCCAGGCCTTCTGTGTCCTCTCCCATGCCAGCGCGAGGCATTCGGGACCTTCGAGCCCCACCATCTTTGTGGGGGGTTCGGGAGGGACCGTCCGGTGTGTCGCAGGGTTGGCAGCTCCTTGGCTGCTCCGTCGAGAAGCCAGCAGGAGTGTCCCCCCTTGGCATCCCAGAGGCCCCGCGGAGCAGACTCGGGTGTTGTGGAGCGTCTCTGTTGGGGGCAGAGGCCCTCCCCGCTCCTTTCTGGAACATGCGTTACTTTGGTGCTTTCCCTCACCCCCGGTGGCCCCAACACGCTGGCCGCCTTCACCGGCCCTTGGACGTCCAGGTGTCCGTACTTGGCCGTCGTCTTCCCGATGATTCTCCGTCCCCTCCGTCACCTCTCTTCGTGGTGGCTGCCGCTGTGCAGCCCAGGCTTTGCCCGGCTATGGGCTGGCTGGGTGCCACATACCTTGGTTTGCGCATTAACTTACTTGTAGGGTCCCTGGGCGTGTGACCCCGGCTGTGGGCTCACACACTGGGGTGGGGGGGCATGCCTGAGACGGACCCTTGTCTTGGCATCGGGGATCCCGGGGCAGTGCTGTGCGCCAGGGCCAGGGACCAGACTCAACCGCCCGCCTCTCCCGCTCGGAGAACATTCCCCGCCAGCGAGGGGTCTTACGTGGTTTGGTCACGGCTCTCTGTGTGCCAGGACGTGCCTGTCCCATCTGTACCTTACTGTCCGAGTCACGGCCCCCTGGTGCCAGCGGGTGAGTAGGACAGAGTTAAATGGCGTTTTTATTTGTGTCTTTGTTTCAGAACCACCCTTGGTGCTCAGGGACTGCTCCTGTCTCAGTGCGTGGAGGTCGCGCCCGCACGCAGACCCTGCACCCCAGTCCACACCCTGCATGTGGGTTCGATTGATTTTAACCACTTGTCCGAGGGAGTCTCGGCTCTGGTAGCCTTGCCCCACCGCAGCAGCTGGGCTAGGTGGAGGACGAGACTCCGATTTTAGTCCCTCTGCTGAGCGCCTGGGGGCGACGGCAGGTGACCCGCATGGCCCTGAGCCTTGGTTTCCCTCGCCATCACCCTCTCGTCTGTCACGAGGCCGGGTGTGCACAGACACCGGCATGGCCCCCGGGATGCAGAAATGGAAGCGTTTACTACTGCAGATGGGGCCCTAGCCCGTCAAGGTCACTGGGAAATTCAGCTACTTCATGACTTGAGGACTCAGAGCCGCAGGCAGTTAAGGGTGTTGCGGGTTTTGCTCAACATCGGGAGGTGGTGGAGACGGTTGGAAAAGCCTGTTCTCCCTGGGGGCCTCTGTGTCCGTTTGTGTCGCCGGAACCCTGCGTGCCAGTCTGACCTGGGACCTGCCCGCCTCTTCTCCCCTGCCCCTTGAGCTTTGGCAGGTGCTGGGCTATGACACGAGTCCCCTCTGTCCCGTGCGCTCCCTCAGGACCCCTGCCTCTGTCTTTCAGAGTCCTCCGTGGAAAAGGAGAGGGAGACCCCCAGTCCCATCGACCCCAACTGCGTGGAGGTGGACGTGAACTTCAACCCCGACCCCGCGGACCTGGTCCTGTCCAGCGTGCCGGGCGGAGAGCTCTTCAACCCGCGGAAGCACAAGTTCGCCGAGGAGGACCTGAAGCCGCAGCCCATGATCAAAAAGGCCAAGAAGGTCTTCGTCCCCGACGAGCAGAAGGTAAGGGACGCGCCGCCCGAGGGAATGGGAGCCCCGGGACACTCCAACACTCCACCTCCCGGCTTTAGCCCGGCCTGGCTCCCCTCTGAGGGACAGAGAGTTTCGTGTGTTTCCGTCTCCGGGGGAGGCGGCAGCTCCCCAGGCGGGTGGGTGAGGCAGGAGGATTTTGGCATTTTTCCTTCCTCGCCTCGGAAAACTCCCAGCAAAGATGCCACATCCCGCTCGGGTCGGGCAGACCTGGGTTCAGAACCCATTTTGGCACAGACCCCATGCCCGGGTTCTCGGCGCAGACAGGAGCCACCAGCCCTGCCTCTCCAGGGGCCGCTGAGGCTGTGATCAGGATGATGACAAAGCAGGCGCCGGCGCCGTTCCAGACTGCAGGTAGCAGCTCTTGGCCTCACGGCGTCCCCAGCCCTTACCCCAGTGCACCTGTGAGGGAGACACAGAGGTTCAGGGCTGAGAGCCTGGGGACACCCTGTCCTGCCGGGATGGATCCTTTGGCACTGAGCCAGGAGTGGTCCCTAGTTCCTCCAGGTGACTTAGAAAACAGAAAGGTGCACAGCCAGAGACGCAGCGCGGCAGCCAGGTTCTTGCCTACTGTGTGTGAGGCCCTGGGTTCGGTCCCCGCACTGCAGAGAAAGAGCGAGCTGGCCTGCCCCAGGTGCATGCAGGGGTGCAGACGGGCTTGTGGCCAATCTCCAGAAAGGCCCTCTGCCCTCTGCAGCCCCCCCCCCCCGCCCGTCCTGCCCTTCCCTCGGGTGTTTGGCTTGTGCTGAGCTCTGGCCGAGTCCCGAGAAGGGTGGGGCTGTCCTCTGGGGAAACCGAGACTCACGGAGGACACTTCCCGCAGGATGAAAAATACTGGACGAGGCGCAAGAAGAACAACGTGGCTGCCAAGCGGTCCCGGGATGCCCGACGCCTGAAGGAGAACCAGATCACCATCCGGGCGGCCTTCCTGGAGAAGGAGAACACGGCCCTGCGGACGGAAGTGGCCGAGCTGCGCAAGGAGGTGGGCAAGTGCAAGACCATCGTGTCCAAGTACGAGACCAAGTACGGGCCCTTGTAACCCGCGTGCCCTGCCCGGCGCCACTGCCCGCTCCTTAGCCTGCTGGGGGCTCCCTGACACCCACCCGCGGGTGGAGACTTCGGACACTTCCCGGGCAGCTGGCGGTGCCCCGTGCCAGGAGCGTCCACGGTCAAGCTTCATTGTCACGCGGCCGCGGGCGTGGGGAGCGCCTGCACCGGAGGTGGCTCGGCCGCGGCGACTCCTCCCGGCGGGCCCTGCTGAGTCGGACGGGACCTCGAGCTCGGCTGCCCGGCTCCCTCCGCCCCGTCCGGGCGGCCGCTCGCACGTCTTCTCAGGGAGCAGGGCCCGTGTCCGGCGGCGGCTCCTCTGAGAGAAACGTCCACTCCCGCCACCCGAGGTCGAGAGACACCCCTGTCCTTCCGCCGGGTCTGGCGGGAGCAGGTGGGAGCCTGCAGGGGTGCCAGGCACGGGCCACATTCACCCTTGTCTCCCTGTGCTTCGTCTGCTGTGGGGAGAGACCCCGGCAGCCTGGCTCCGAGCCCTGACCCCCGGCACAGGGGCCCTTTCCACGCCCCCGCTCTCCGGGGACTGGGCGCCAGGCCTGCCGTTCCTTTGCACGCAGCCGTCGGCCCAGATCACGGGCTGACCGCGCCTCCCTTGCCCCCCCACCCCGGCCCGTCCCGGAGCCCGGGATGCGCCTTCCTGCATGGAACCCACTGCCTCCGCGCGGCCCCCTCCCCAGCCGGCACCGGGGCTCGAGCACAGGCCCTCGGAACATTACCCTGGCGACAGGCCCCTTGGTCGGGCCGGGAGCTGTTGCCTCTCGAAGCTGCTCCTTCCTGCGGGGGGGCCGGGGACGCGCCGAGGTGAGCCCTGGCACCCCGGCCGCGTGTACATACTTGCTCAGGGCTACGGCTGTGGTGAGGACGGGTCCCGGGGGCCGGACCCCTTTGGGCAGGCCACTGGCCTCGCGGCACGCATGGTCCCAGGCCCGAAGGACTTTGCGGACAGATGTTAGGGTGGGGGTGGGACCTCCTGGCGCCGCCCTGGGGACCTGCACACTGTCTCTGGGCAACTGACAAGGGTCCCCGGCGCCAAGGGAGGCCGCCCCTCTCGCACCTGACAGACTGTGGTTCTGGACAAACCACGCACACACTTTCTCTTGGGTAACCACATCCGGCATGTCCGTGTCCCGCCCGGCGCCCCCTCCCTCGGCCGGCAGCTTCCCGGGGGTGGGGGTTTCTCGCGGTGTTCCTGGGAGAACCACCTCCCACTTCAAAGCGCTTCCTGTTCCGTGGCCAGGAATTGTCTGGTTTGTGTTTTTTCAGTTTTTTCACTCTTTCAAGCCTAGAAACGAGTCTCCCTGTGGCGCCTCCCTGGGCACTGCGCCGGGACAGTGGCCTGAGGACTCTCCGTTTTGTCCCCTCCCGGCAGTGAGCATCTGGTTCTTTCCCAGAGTGCTGGTGTGGACGGAGTGGCGCTGGGCGGGGGCCGTCGCCGTCGCTCCTTTCCGGCCAGTCCCTGGCCCGCTTGGTTTCTGTCCTGGACAGGGGAGTCCCCTGTCCATCTCGGGGCCAATAGCCAAAGACAGGGTTCCTGTGCTCGGTCCTCTGCTGTCCCCTCCGGAGCACCGGGGCGAGAAGGAGAAGAGCAAAGGGCTTTGCAGGGCCTCGCCCCCCAGCGCCTGGCACCTCCCTGCCTCCGCGACAGACCAATCATGGACGGCAGCGGGCGTGCCCATCGGTGTGGCTGGGGAGAGGAGTCTGTTCACAGCCGTGGGGCCCGGCCGCCTCGGCCTCGGCCCATCTGGCTTCAGTGGGGGAGGGCACTCGGCAGAGACCCTCACGGCGGCCGCGGTGGAGCAGGCTGGACACAGGGCCAGAGGCGGCCCTGGGCGGCTGCTTCCTGGCCGGCGATGGCAGCGGTCCAGGGTTCCGGGGGCCCGGGGCCCCGACACAAAGACCGAGGGCCCCGCGTTCCTTCGACATCTGTTCATTAAGTGCAATAACTTTTTCTAGAAAATGGCACAGATGACTTCCAGGTGGACGTAGCTGTCTGGGCGCGGGCTGCAGAACACCACTTGGTTTTATTTTTCTAGGTGCATGTGATGCTCGAGTGTGCGGGGGGCCGCGGCCTCCCTGGGCGAGGGCGAGGCGGAGCGCAGCCCGTTGGCCTTAGTGCGTGTGCGTGTGCGAGTGTGTCCCGGCGGTGGGCCCGAGCGGCGCGGAGGGGAGCTGGGAGTGCGTCCTTTTCAGAATAAAGCCGATATTTTGAGACGAGAACCGCGGGCTTGTCTTTCTTGCCCCCGCCCTGGTCTCCGCCTGTGGGCCAGGTACCCCGAGGGCTGCCAGGTCCTCTGTGCCTCCGTGTCCTCGTCCCTTAAGTCATTTCTCCCTCACAGGACAGATGAAGCCCAAAGCAGTCGGAACCAATGAAAAGTGGCGACTGGCAGTGGTGAGCGGACTCCCGGGGCGGGCGTCTGCCCAGACCTCCGAGGCTGGGCATCCCTCGGCCTCCGAGCTGCCCCGCACCCTGAGGGTCGGCGCCCCGCCGCAGGACACGGCCCTCCCTGGCCTGCAGCCCGCGCTGTGTTCCTGACGTCAGCAGCTCACCTGGGAGCGCTGCCAGGCAGAGATAGGGGTGAGCTGAAAGACACTGGGAAACGGGGCCCCCGGCACCCCAGCTCCAGCAGGCACCCGTCACTGCACCCCACAGCCAGGGGGGTCACCCCTGGGACAGAGCCCGGACTCAAGTCTCCTGGACAAGGGCCGGCACTGACCCTGCACCTCTGAGGCTGGCGGCGGTCAGCAGGGGAGCCGGGACGGACGGTTTCAGCAGCGCCCCAGGGGGGAAGGCCGACACTTGTCCCACAGCACCCGGGAGCGAGGACCTTCACGCCAGCCTCCCGCGACTTCCTGCCTCAAGCCCTCTGGTCTCCTCAGGGCCTGGGATGTCCCGTCCCTCCTTTCCTGCCTCCCACATGTCCTCCCCTGTGGCATCAGAGGATTCCTTGGGCCACACCTAGTGGTGCTCAGGATTTGACTGTTCAGGGGTCACTCCTGCCCGGCTCGCAGACCCCCGTCACCCAGCGCCAGGCCAATAACGCAGTGAGGAGCCCCTCACATGCGGCTTCCTCGTGGCGGTGCCGGCAGGGCCTGGGGCCGACTAGGGCCTTTTCTGCAGTCCCAGAGGCACATGCAGTTGCCGAGGTGTGGTGGTCCCAGGCCAGAAGCCGGGGAAGGCTGGGCAGACGTGGGAACTGGGGTCCCAGCACAGAAGTGCCCCGTGAGAGGGCCTCCCTGGCAACCATGGCCAGGCCTTGTTCAGGACCCCTGCCAAGCCCTGAGCCTCACGCTTGGGGCTCCCCCAGCAAGATCTCAGGGCGATGTGAACTGCACCCAGCAGCTTCTGAGAGACGGGCGCAGGCAACTGCGGGACGGGGCAGGGGATCGGACGCAGAAGCACCTGACTCTGCCTGCCCGGGCTGGGGACATCCTGACTCCGGCCCTTCTGCCTTTACTCCCTCACGCTTCTTGCTCCCCGCTTTCCTCCCGTGGAACTGCAAGCGCTGGTAAGCGGGGGGCCCGACCCCTCACATCATATCCTGGCTCCCGCGACTGGTCCCTGCGTCTCACAGCCCTGACGTGGGCAGCGCCACCCTCGGGCAAGGCTGGGGAACGGGCTCAGAGAGGGACGGGCCTCTCGGGCCCAAGAGGGCTAGGTGGGCCCCAGGAGCACCCAAAGCTCAGGTCCCCTCGGGTCAGGTAACCCAGCTGGGCTCTTTCTCTCGGAGTCACAGCCTGGCTATGGTCACTTCTAAGGTCCTTGTCATCAAAATCTCTGATGCAGGGCTGAGAGATGGCGGGCGGGGAGGGCACTTGCCGAAAGGAGAGATGGGGGGGACCCTGGCACTTGGGGCCATGAGCGGGACCGGAGGGGGCTTTGGAGGCAGCTTGGGCTCTGGGAGACGCTTCTGTTTCATATCTGCCAGGCTCCCCGCCCATGTTCCTCCAAGAGGATGGGCCACCTGCGAGGGTCCCATCTCCCGCCCACAAACCCACAGGACAGTCTCCCAGCCCCAAACTGCCAATGCCAGAGCTCCTAGCCCCTCAGGCCGCCCGGTCCAACGCCACGGAAGTGAGCTCCACAGCTGACTCTTCCACTGAAGCCCTCCTCAAGGTCACCCCTCAAGGTCATCAGTGCCCCCACCCGCTCTGGGCCTTCCCCCGCCCCGCCGCTTGGTTCCCTCACCCCTGCCCCTGCTCACAACTTCCTGTGACTCTGCCCCGGGCTGGCCTCGCTGGTTCATCCCACCTCAAGGGTGCCAGTACCGGGTATGTGGGAGCCCCAGGCCTGATCCCTGGGGTTGCATGATCCCCCAGCCACGTTGGGAGTGACTGACCCCGAGCTCTGTGTCGCTCAGAAGAAAAATAAAAGATGGTTGGGGCTAGAGAGATAGGACAGCAAGTAAGGCACTTGCCACGCACACAGCTGACCTGGGTTCGATCCCCAGCACCTCATCTGGCTCCCTGAAGCTTCCCGGAGTGATTCCTGAGCACAGAACTAGGGTCAGCCCTGAACACCATCGAGTGTGGTCCCAAAACGAACCAACAAAAAAGTATGCTTGTCAGGACATTTCAACACAGCAGGTAGCGCACCTGCCTGGCGCGTGGCCGGCCCGGAGTTGTGTCCTGGCACTGCCATTGGAATTCTGGATTTATGCCGGTGGAGTTTGGTTCACACTGGATGGTACTCCCAATGTGGTGCTCAGGGCTGAGTCCTAGTGGGGCCCGGGCAACCATGCAAAGCATGTGTTTGGCCTGCGGCACCTCCTCTGTGCCCCTTTTTTGATTAGTAACTCCCTTTATTACGTAATTTCGGTTCTAGGGACAAGCTGGTCAGCTCAGACCTGGGGTGTGAGCTCTCCATCCCTAGCGTTTCCATTTTCTTTTCTTTGTTGTGCGTTTTTCCCCTTGGTCATCCCCACATGGGCCTCGGAGCTTCTCCCAGCTCAGTGCTTGGGATGGAACCTGGCGTTTCCACATGCAAATCCTGGACCCCCTGAGCTTTATCTCAGCTCCCATGTATGTGTTTTTTTTTCCATGTCACAATAGTTATTTTATTTCAAACATTTTCAATAAACGCTAAAAATGAAAAATTAAGTTTATTTTAGACTCCATAAAAGAAATGATTTGGGCCGGAGTGATAGTCCAGTGGGGAAGGTGTT